TGAATAAGGGCGTGCTTGGGAGAGAAGCTTCACTGTAAATAGAGATACACTGTTAGAGGGTCCCACTGTATTCGTCATGTCTGGTGTCTTGGTGAAAAGCTCAACAGAGGTTAGTGACTTTCCAAGGTGTCATAGTCAGAGTCAGCGGAAGAACCAGCATTGCAATTAAAAAGTTCCTGGCTCCCAGCCTCCAATTCAATCCTTTACCCCAGGGTGTCGCTCTTTTGCCTTTTATGACAATACACCGTACTCACCGGCTGAGATCTGAACATCCGCTACAATCCTTTCTGGCCGAGGGAACGTGGCTGGTGTAGCTGCCAGCTCAGCTACAGCTGCCATAATGCGCTCCCAGAGAGTCAGCAAAGGCTCTGGATCGTCTGTGGGACGGATGCTGTCAGCAGGCACCGTTAAGATGATGTTCTGGGTAGCTAGTTCTGCCCATGGAGCTGGATAGTGACGGATGCAGGTCAGCCACTGGCTCTTAGATGTCTTTCCTGCATCAATATGGACGAGAGAGATGAAGTGCACAAATCCTGTGATGATTTGGTTCCGTGTCAGTTGGGTATAACTGATTTCACTTGGGGCCCTTGGAAGCCTTAAAGATGAGCAGAAGCTACTTAAATAACCTCATGATTTGATTTTATTTGATTTATTTTCCTTCGTCCTCCTCCCCTCCTTTTTTTGGTTGCATTCTCTCAAAGACTGATCCAAAGTCCATTGTAGTAAATAGAAACCCGCCGACTATATTCATTGGTTTGTGGACTGGGACTCTGTTGCACCTTTTTTCAAATTAGATTATAAGGTGTTTGAGGCAAAAATGATCTGTTATGCTGCATTTGTACAATGCCAAGCATAATGGGGCCTCGATCCTGATTGGGACCTTCAAGAGCTGCTATTGAACAAATAATTATATTAGACTTTTCCCTTTTCTTATTAGTGTTATAGTTAACAGCCAGAATTGATAAAATAAGTGTGTTCCTCTGTTTAACATGAAAACTAGGGGCTGAGGATCAATTCAGTCCACTAATTGCAATGAAATGTCATTTGTTCTCACTAGGGCTGTAGAAATAAGAAACACTACTGATTTTTTTTTAAAGAGAATTTTACCATGAGGTTAAAGCACATTCAAACACAAGGAAAATCACTTTGAATACATGGGAACAATATGTTCAAAATATTATTAATTCAAGAATGATTAGTGATATTAATTTGTGAGCCAAATTCAAACTCTGTGTGTCCTATCCCCATCCACTGACTTCAGTGGACCCCTGTGCACATACAGCAACTCTAAATTCAGCCCTGTGCATCTATAAGAAAACTTAAAACAGCCTGAGATTTTGCTGGATTGATCTAGCTCAGTGGTTCTCAAACTGTGGGCTGGGAGTCGAGACCCCAAAGTGGGTGGCAACCCATTTTAATGGCGTCGCCAAGGCTGATGTTAGACTTGCTGTGGTCCGGGGCCGATGCCTGAGACCCACCAAGGGGTTGAAACCCAAGGGCTTCAGCCCTGGGCAGCAGGGCTCAGGTTGCAGGCCCCCCACACAGGACTTTTGCTTTGGCCGTCCCGCTTGGGGCGGTGTGGTTTGAGCCAACGCAGGCTTTGGTCCCCGCTCCTGAGGTCGTGTAGTCATTTCTGTTGTCGGAAGGGAGTTGCGGTGACTAAAAGCATGAGACTACGATCTCCTCGCCCTGCCAATTTTGGTTTCATCTTCTGCCTTTATCCTCTTCCCTGATAAAACTGATGAAGCCCAAATCACGGATAATTAGAGAGGCACTTCTCTGTGTGTCTCTTCACAACCATCATCAGCAGCAGC